TTTTTGCTTTCTTTGGTATCAGACTGAGAGCAATGGTCACAGTATTTTTCAACACTTTTCTTTTCCACAACAAAAATTCTTATGCAAATATATATTTTTTTTTTTTCTTAGCGGTTGTATAAAACTTCATTGACTTAATAAAAAATGAATAATTCTCTGTCATTTTTTAATGTCTTAAACTGGGTTCTCTAGAGAAACAAAGCTAGTGAAGCTTATATATATAAGGTTAGTTCAGGCAAACCAAATCCACTGCCGTTGAATCAATTATGACTCCTAGTGACCCTCTAGAATAGAATACAACCGTCTTACAGGGTTTTCTAGGCTGTAATCTTTATGGAAGCAGACTGCCACATCTTTCTCTCATGGAGTGATTGGTAGAGTCAAACTGGCAACCATTCTCTTAGCACCCAGCACTTAGCCACTAAGCCACCCAATCACCGCATCAAGTCAATTTCGACTCATAGTGACCTTATAGGACAGAGTAGAACTCCTACTCTTTATAGGGTTTCCAAGGCTATAAATATTTATGGAAGCAAACTATCACATCTTTCTCCTTCAGTGCAGATGGTGAGTTCAAACTGCCAAACTTTTGGTTAGCAGCCAAGTGCTTTAACCACTGCACTATGAGGGCTACTAAAAGTTCAGCTGCTAACTGAAAGGTCAGTGGTTCAAATCCACCAGCCTCTCTGTGGGAGAAAGATGTGGCAGTCTGTTTCCATAATAATTTATATCCTTGGAAACCCTATAGGGCAGTTCTATGCTTTCCTATAGGGTCACTATGAGTCAGGTAGTAGACAAGTGCAAACAATTTGCATCACTCAGACACCTAAAGGAAGTCTATAAATGGAACCATTTACCATCAAATAAATTGTGACTCATGGCAACCCCCTGTGTTTTGAGTAGATCTGTGCTCCACTATAACCAAAACAACCAAACTCACTGCCGTCAAGTTGAATCTGACTCAGAGACCCCTCCCTGGGTTTCCAAGGCAGTATTGCTACAGAAGTAGATTGCTCAGTCTTCCTTCCAAGTGCTCCACAATGGAGGTCATTTATTTATTCATCAACACTTCTGTATGACGTAGAACTATCATAGGGTAAAGAATATAGAAGGAACTCTGGTGGCATAGTGGATAAGGCATTTGACTGCTACCCGGAAGGTCAGTGGTTCAAACCCACCAGCCACTCTGAGGAAAGAAGATCGATATAGAAAGCTAAGGAGCCAGAATTCTCCTTAGAAGTGAGGAAGGTGAGATTTCATCTCATGTACTTTGGACATATATTAGGAGGGACCAGTCCCTGGAGAAGGAAATCATGCTTGGTAAATCTGAGGGTCAGAGAAAAAGAGTTGGCTTGAAACAGTAGCTGCAACCATGAGTTTAAACAGAGCAATGATTGTGAGGGTGGTGCAGTACTGAGCAGTGTTTCATTCTGTTGTATGTATAGTCCCTACAAGTCAGAAATGACTCAATAGCACCTGCAGTGAAATGAATTGCTTAATATGGCCCTTCTAGCCATAGTCCTCCATTTTGTGATGTATTGTACATCCTAGTCCCTATGACACAGGAGCTCTGGTGGTGTAGTGCCTAAGGCATTTGACTGCTAACCAGAAGGCTGGAGGTTCAAACCCACCAGCCAATCCTTGGGGGAAAGACTGGGCAATCTACCTCTGTAGTGATACTGCCTCAGAAACCCAAGGAGGGGTCTCTATGAGTCAGGTCAGACTCAACGGCACATAACAAAAACAACAGTCTCTATGCCTGCTTAGGGCGGGATGTATCTTGAGTCCCACCTTGCTGGAGGGTGTGACTCAAGTCACCACCCTGAGTTTCCTTGAGGGTATATATGTGAATGCTCTGGGAAAGTTCACTCTCTGTCTCTGGTCCTGTGTTTGGTTTGTCATTATTTCACCCCTGGACTTGAGACAGCAACTGACCATCTGACCCACCGATTTGGGTTCGCCAGACCCTGCAACCACACGAGTGATGCAAATCTTCCAGACCTACTCACAGACTTGGAATTTGCCAGCCTTCACCACCATATAAGCCATTTCCTTAGCAGTTTGTGAGTTCTATGAGACCTTACAGTGAAATATGGAACCCTAAGACAGGAGGGAGAGTACGGAGGGGAGAAGCAGGGATTGATGTTAGAGATGATGGAATGACACAGCAGTTTGGAAAAGTTGGACATGTGGGACATCTTTAATGTCTGCCTCATAGGGACTGGCCTTGTGCTGATGATCCTCCTAAAAGAAATTATTTAAGCAGCATCTAACAACAACAACAAGAGAAACAAGAAGCAGTATACAATTGGAATATAAAAGTGTTTTTTCTTTTTTAAAAAAAGTAATTTTATTTTCAATAACACCAGTTTTACTTTCAAGTATCATAAAATACTGAGTAATATATTTTTTGTTACAAAAAAACTAATCAGGAAAACACATACAAATACAAAGAAGAGAAAATATCCACTTCATAATGTCTAACAAACATAAAAAGGTGTTCAACTTTATGAATCATCAGGGAAATTAAAAATAAAACCACAAGGTAATTACCACTACCTACACACCAGAGTGGATGATTGAAATGAAAAAGATGAGGAAATGTCAAACACTAATTTTAATGTAGAGCAAACACTTTGGAAAATTCCATGGAAGTATTTATGAAAGTTGAACATTTAAAGACCCTTTTTCCTACTAAGTCCAATGCTAGGTAAATATGTATATTGTTGTTGTTAGGTGCTGTCAAGTCGGCCCTGACTCATAGTGACCGTAAGTACAACAGAACAAAACATTGTCCAGTCCTGTGCCAGCCTCACAATCCTTGCTATGCCTGAGCCCATTGTTGCAGCCACAGTGTCAATCCATCTTCCTGAGGGCCTTCCCCTTTTTCATTGACTCTCCACTCTACCAAGCATGATATCCTTCTCCAGGGAATGGTCTCTTCTGACAACATGACCAAAATAGGTGAGATGAAGTCTGGCCATTCTTGCTTCCAAGGAGCATTCTGGCTGCACTTCTTCCAGGACAGATTTGTTAGTTCTTTTGGCAGTCCATGGTACTTTCAGCATTCTTTGCCAACACCACAACTCAAAAGCACAAACTCTTCTTTGGTCTTCTTTATTCATTGTCCAATTTTCACGTGTATATGAGGTGACTAAAAATATCATGGCTTGTGTCAGGCGCACCTGAGTCTTCAAAGAGACACCTTTGCTCTTCAGCACTTGAAAGATGTCTTTCGCAGCAGAACTGACCAGTGCAATACAATGCCTGATTTCTTGACTGCTGCTACCATTGGTGTTGATTATGGAAACAAGTAATATGAAATCTTTGACAACTTCAGTCTTTTCTCCATTTATCATGATGCTGCTTATTAGTCCAGTTGTGAGGATTTTCATTTTCTTTACATTGAGATGTAATGCATACTGCAAACTGTAGTCTTTAATCTTCATCAGTAAGTGCTTCAAGTCATCTTCAGTTATAGTAAGCAAGGTAGTGTCATCTGCACATCACAGGTTGTTAATGAGTCTTCCTCTAATCATGGTGCTGTGTTCTTCTTCATATAGTCCAACTCCTTGGACTATTTGCTCAGCATGCAGATTGAATAAGTATGGTGAAAGGCTATTACCCTGACACACTCCCTTCCTGAATTTAAACCATGCAGTATCCCCTTGTTCTGTTCAAATAACAGCCTTCTGTTCTATGTATAGGTTTCTCATGAGCACAATTAAGTGTTCTGGAATTCTCATTCTTCTCAATGTTATCCATAATTTGTTATGATCCACAAAGTTGAATGTTTTGTAGTCAAAGAAACAAGGTAAACTAATGATAAGCAAGTAAATTAATGACATGCAATTGCATATTAATCATATACAAGTTCAAGTTAAAGCTGAAGATAATTAAAACAAGTCCATGGAAGCCAAAATATAATCTTGATTACATCCCTTCTGAATTTAGAAACCATCTAAAGAACAGATCTGATGTGACTTGTGGGTTTGAACTACCAACCTTTTGGGTAACAGCCAAATAGCTTAACCATTACACCACCAGAGCTCCTTGCTAAATATGTATATATGTTACCAAAAGATGTGTTCCAAAACGTCCACCTGCATTATTCACACTAGCCCCAAATTAGAAAGACATAAACGGGTAGCAACATAATGGATGAATACATGGTAATATATCTAGACAATGATATACCAAACTGGAAAAAGTATTGAAAAACCCACTACACCCAAGGTAAGGAGGTCTAGTGGCATAGTGCCCAAGACCATCAAATCCACCAGCCACTCAGCAGAAGGAAGACCTGGCAATCTACTTTCCTAAAGATTTACTGCCTGGGGTCGCTATGAGTCAGAATCCACTTGATGGCAGTGGGTTTGGTTTTGGTTACATACAATATAGCTGAAACTCACAGTGAGTAAAAGAAGCCTGACCAAAAAGGAATGAACACATTATGATTCCACATACAAACTATTACAAGTCTACTTCATGGTTACTCTTAGGTGTGTGTGTTTGTGGGGGGTGCACTGGAAGGAAACAGGTAGATGCTTCGATGATGCAGGTGGTAGTGTTCTTGACCTAACTTCTGCCTACATAACTTTTCCAGTTTGTAACAATTTATCCAGATGTATCTAAAATTAAAAGTTAAAATTGAAACAAATAAAGAAAAAAAAAAAAAGGCAGCAATAGATCAATCACGTTATTTAAAATCCATGAGGTCATAATCAACAGCTCTTCCCCCAGCCCCTGCGCGCCCCAGACCCCCATGTGTGCATGCGCGCGCACACGCACAATAAAATCAAAACCTCATTGGTTGCTATTCCGGGAAGAGGGGCACAGTTCCGGAAGCAGTATCTTAGCGCCGCCTTTTCTGCTTCCTAATCATCCCAGCTTCCCGCCAACCTACCTGCCAGCCATCCTGCTAGCACGCCATTCAGCCCCAGACAGCGTCTGCCAGTCTGAACTTATCCCTCTGGGAAACCGTGTCATTTTCGGTTGGGAATAGCCTGTTTCTGGTTCATCGGTTCACCACTGCCTGAAAGGATCTCCACCCACCGCCATTATGAACATCCGCAATGCTCGGCCAGAAGATCTGATGAACATGCAACACTGCAACCTCCTTTGCCTTCCTGAGAACTACCAGATGAAATACTTTTTCTATCATGGCCTTTCCTGGCCCCAGCTCTCCTATATCGCTGAGGATGAAGATGGGAAGATTGTGGGCTATGTTCTGGCCAAAATGGAGGAGGATGCAGACGATGTGGCCCATGGACATATCACCTCACTGGCCGTAAAGCGTTCACACCGGCGCCTCGGCCTGGCCAAGAAGCTGATGGACCAGGCCTCTAGGGCCATGATAGAGAACTTCAATGCCAAGTATGTGTCCCTGCATGTCAGAAAGAGTAACCGGGCAGCCTTGCACCTCTATTCTAACACCCTCAACTTTCAGATCAGTGAGGTAGAACCCAAATACTATGCAGATGGGGAAGATGCTTATGCAATGAAGCTAGATCTCTCGCAGATGGCAGGTGAGCTGAGGCGGCAGCAGGAGCTGAAGAAATGTGGATACCTGATGCAGGGCTGCAAAGAAAATAAAGTAGAGACCCAGGGCAATACTAAAGAGTATGGTTCTGAAGAGGCCTTTCAGGGGGAGAAGAGCCCCATGGCTGAGAAGAGTGGGAGTGACAGCAAGGGACTCAGCGAGTGCACGGAGAGTCCCTAAGTCCAGGAGAGCGCAGAAGACTTGGATTCTACCCCCTAAAGGCTGCTTGAGGTATTCTCCCTTCCCTGACCCAGCCCCCCTCTACCTTGACCCTTACCCCTACCCCACCGCCAACCCACACCATACCTGGTCTGCCCAATTCCTTTCCAGCTTTACTGGGTTTCAAGGTGAAACCACCTGGTGACTGGAAGAATGTGGGATAGCTTAGGGGAAGATTCACTTCTTACTATTAAAAGCAACTGATATGATGAAAGTGGATTAAACTAAGTAAAAAACATTTCTCTTTCCTTTCCTGTATGAATTGTATTTCAGTGTGTCCATATAATTGATGAAGAAATTTTTTCTTTATAGAAGAATTCCAGGTAATAAATGGAGAAAGAGTAATAGAGTTAGAGAATCACCATTTTTGCAACTCTTGATGTAATAATAGGTAGGCAACAGTCATTAATGGCTAATACTATTAAATGAAAGTTGGAGAGCTTTATAACAATGGATCAGGCTGACATCATTTCAAGTCAGTGATAAATCTTAGTATCACTAAAAGTGAGACAAATATATGTGCTTCCTGATGCAATAATAAGTATACAGTACTGCCTATAAAATACTCCTACCAAAAAATAAACTCTAAATATATATATGTGTGTGTGTGGATTAACACACACACACATATGTATATTTAGGAGCTGTGGTGAGGCAGTGGTTAAAATGCTTGGCTGCTAACCAGAAGGTCAGTGGTTTGAACCTACCAGTCATTCTTTGGGAGAAAGATGTGAGATGTGGCACTCTGATTCTGTAAAAATTTACAGTCTTGGAAACTATGGCAGTACTACTCTGTCCTATAGGGTGGCTATGAATCAGAATCGAGTTGATGGCAGTGAGTTTGGTTTGGGGTGTGTGTGTGTGTACAGTGTTGGAAAATCCAAAGCAAAGTAACTGCAGACTTACTTACTAACCTGTAGTGAACAATTTCACATTTCACCACATCAAAGATGCTGCTTCTAGGTTTGGCTGGCATCTGTCTCTCCCATCTCTATAGAACCTTCCTACAGAATTGAAGCCCTTTCAAAATTTATAAACCCTCACAGGGATAGGGTACCTATTAAGCAAAATAAGCATGAGCTTACTTGTGTTTACCTACTCACCTGTAGTGAATAGTTTCACATGCTTTTTGTCACATCAAAGATATGATGGAACCCATGTGAAATTGCTCACTGCAAATAAGTAAGTAAGCACAAATTACTTATTGGGTCATCTGCCTCTGTATGTATATGTACATACATGTATATGTATAAACCAAAACCAAACTCACTGCTGTCGAGTTGATTTCGACTCATAGCGACCCCTCCTTGGGTTTCCGAGGTGGTATCACTACGGAAGTAGATCGCCCTATCTTCCTTCCAAGGAGCAGCTGGTGGGTTTGAACCACCTTCTGGTTAGCAGTCAAATGGTCACTACGCCACCAGATCTCCCTGTGTATATGTATGTGTGTATATATATATCTATGTATATATACACACACACACACACACACAGGCATATATGTGTGTGTGTAGAGAGAGTAAATGCACAAGAATATGACTGTGAGAGGTCAAACAGTTTAACACACTGGACTGCTAACTGAAAGTGCACCCAGAGGTGCCTCTGAAGAAAGACCTGGTGATCTGCTTCTGAAAAATCAGTCATTAAGAACCCTATGGAGCACAGTTCTACTCTGACACACGTGAAATCACTATGAGTCTTAGTCAACTTGATGGCAACTGGTTTTTGGTGTGTGTGTTGAGTGTATAGGTGTATATTGTGAATCTAATCAAGGTTCTAGATCTAACTACCATTTTTATAGGAAATAGAGGGACATGTTAAGTACACAATGATGCAGTCAACTAAGTCCAAAATGAGGGGGTTTCTGCAGAACAGATGGCCTGTTTGTTTTTCCAACAAATAAATGACATTTTAAAAAATGAGAGGAAGTTTCCTATTAAAACAACCTTAAAACAATCTTATTGGTCAAATGCAGCTGTTGACTTTGTTTGGATCTTGATTCAGACAAATCAAATATCAGACATATTTTGAAACAACCAGGCAAAATTTGAATGCAGATTGTATAGTTGATGCTGTTAAGGAATTGCTAATCATTTTCTTATGTGAGCTAAATGTATTGTAGCATTAGGTTTTAAAAGAAAATGTCCTTAGTTGTTAAATATAACCCACTGCCGTTGAGTCGATTCATAGTTACCCTACTCCTTGGATTTCTAAGGTGGTATCTCTGTGGAGGTAGATTGCCCAGTCTTCCTTCCGAGGAGTGGCTGGTGGGTTTGAACCACCAGTCTTCTGCTTAGCAGTCAAATGCCTTAGGCACTACGCCACCAGAACTCCTTTGTAATATATGTTGCTCTTGTTGTTATGTGCTGTTGAGTCAGACCCTACTCAGCAACCCCTCCTTGGGTTTTTTGAGGCAGTATCACTATGGAAGTAGATTGCCCAACCTTCCTTTTGAAGGGTGGCTGGTGGGCTTGAACTGCCAGCCTTCTGGATAGCAGTCAGATGCATCTTAGGCACTATGCCACTGGAGCTACAGTAAGTTGTTGTTGTTGTTATGTGCTGTCGTGTCAGACCTGACTCATAGCGACCCCTCCTTGGGTTTCTGAGGCAGTATCACTACGGAAGTAGATTGCCCACCCTTCCTTCCAAGGAGTGACTGGTGGGTTTGAACCGCCAGCCTTCTGGTTAGCAATCAAGTGCCTTAGGCACTATGCTACCAGAGATCCCCAGTAAGTTCTTGGGAATTAGAAAGAGTCTGTTGTCAGATGTATCTTTGCATCTAACTTTAATAACCTAGAGATTTCATAAGAACTGATTCATTTTGAGAGATGTGCTCTGGTGGTGCAGTGGTTAAGGCATTAGGTTTTGGGTTAGATGGGGCAATCTACTTCCATAAACATTTATGCCTTGAGACCCAATGGGGGTTGCTATAAGTTGAATCGACTTGATGACAATGAGTTTGTCTTTGGATTAGACAGAGTAGAAATGCCCCATAGGGTTTCCAAGGCTATAAATCTTTAAAGAAGCACATTCACAGAGTAGATGGTGAATTTGAACTTCTGACCTTTTGGTTGGTTTCCTTCAACCACTGCACCACCAGAGTACCTTCATTTAGTCTAAGGTTAAGATAAAAGCAAATGAATGCACTAAGAGGGAAGATAAAATTAAAGAAAACTTAATGCCTTGAGAGAAGTGTTGTCAAACTTAACTCCTGTCTTGAAAACCCTGGATGGCTCTATCATGACAATGTTATTTAAATCAACAGTGCTTTAAAAAAAAAACTACCAACATCCAAATTTCTATATATAGAAAGACATGTAAATATTAATCTTTGTAGTGAAAACTAGAAGAGTTGGAACTTATTGTCACTACCTTGTTTTTCCGGGTGTCACAAGTTTTCTGTGTTGGACAGAGTGTGATCTTACCACTTTTCTATCATTTGGTTTTGTAAAAAATATTTGAATTTTCCTTCTCTGACAGGTTTCTGCCTTACACAGTTCTGGTTTTCATAGGTTTTACTGTATTTGTTTCTCTTCCATGTTAAAGTTCACCCAAGAAGGATTTTAAGGAGCTCTGGTCTGGTGGCATAGTGCCTAAGGCATTTGATTGCTAACCAGAAGGCTGGTGGTTCAAACCCACCAGCCACTCCTTGGAAGGAAGGTTGGGCAATCTACTTCCATTGTGATACTGCCTCGGAAACACAGGAGGGGTTGCTATGAGTCAGATTTGACTTGACGGCATTGAGTTTGGTTTGGTTTGGTGGCACAGTGCCTAAGGTATTTAACCGCTAACCAGAAGGCGGTGATTCAAACCCACTAGCCACTCCACAGAAAGAAGACCAGGCAATCTACTTCTTTAAAGATTTACCACCTTGGAAATCCAACAATGGGGGTTGCTATGAGTCGGAAGGAGCTCTGGTAGCATAGTGCCTAAGGCACTTGACTGCCAACAAGAAGGCTTGAGGCTTAAACCCACCAGCCACTCCTCAGAAGGAAGGGTGGGCAATCTACTTCCGTAGTGAAGCCACCTCAGGTACCCAAGGAGGGGTCGCTATGAGTTGAGTCTGACTCAGTGGCACATAACAACAGCAACATGAGTCAGAATTGACTTGATGGCAGTGGGTCTGTTTTTTTTTTTTTGTTTGTTTGCTTGTTTGGTTTAAGGATTTTAATCAAATGGAATAAGAACTAATTTAATGATAAGCACTTAAACCCACCTTAAAATATATGTGTGTGTATTTTGAGAAATTAAAAAGTACTTAAGGTCTGCTATGAGAAATAATAACTGCAACCTAATAGAAGAAGAGAGAAATAATAAGAAAATTAATTGTTGTGTAATGCTTATAAATCTCAGTCTATAAATTCAGAAATGATTGAAATATTTCTTACTATGATTGGACTTTATTTCCAAGTTGAAGGAGTGTTTCTGGTACTGAGTACCACCCCTTTCCAGGTTCATAGCTGCTGAGACTTCTTCATTGGCTCTACCTAATTTTGGGTCCTCATTATACACTCATGGGTCCTTTCTAACCAGAAGGCCTATTCAGGTCTTAGGGGCTATCAGCCATGTTTGGGATATTTTTGTAATAAAGGTTTATTAGTTTGCACAAATAAGTTGGTGGTTTGAACCCACCCAGAGGCACTTCAGAAAACACCGCTGGCATTCTGCTTCCAAAAGGTAACAGCCTTGAAAACCCTATAAACCAAAACCAAATTCACTGCCTTTGAGTTGGATCCAACTCATAGCGACCCCTCTTTGGTTTCCGAGGCAGTATCACTACGGAAGTCGATTGCCCCATCTTCCTTCTGAGGAGTGGCTGGTGGGTTTGAACTGCCTTCTGGTTAGCAGTCAAATGCCTTAGGCATTACACCACCAGAGGTCCTTGAAAACCCTGTGAAGCAGTTTTACTCTGCACACATGGTGTCAGATGAGTCCGAATAGACTTGAGAGAAACTCACAGCATCAACTGTTATATATGTACAAGAAAAAACTCAGTAGTT